CCCCCCTACTCTATCTATCTACATGGCAGCGCTGCTCTGTGGTCATGTCATCCTGCAGTGACACAAGAATTCACCCTCCCGTCCTTGTAGTCAGGATCCCTAGTCCTATCCCCTTCCCCCCTTCTATTACAGTTCTCCTTCTTCACACCCCCCTATAGAGAAGCATGGTGGGATGTCAGCTCCTCTGCTGGGTTCTGTAGTCCCACAATGGCTGGGCAGCTGTACACATCACCTTCCTGGAATTCCACAAAAAGTTTGGAAACTTTGGAGGGGTTTTGTAGTTCCAGCCATATTTAAAGCGGTATGCTCTTATAATATGTGATCAGCTGTTATTATGACATTGGAAAGGCTGCTCTCATTTTTGGGGTGCTCCAGCAGCCAATGAAGAGTTACCGCATGCGTCTACATTTTGAGTTTCTGTTAATTGTTGTTATAGAAAATGCTGGTCCACTGGCTGTAATTCTGCCACCGGTGCGCACGTCATTACGTTATGACATCACATGCACTTCATCTCGGTGATAGAGAGGAGGGGACGTTCATCTGGCAGGATAAAGTGTCCCGCCGGGTCCCCTCCTCTCTCGTGCAGCTGTTGGGCTCAGTGCCCGACTTTTCAGAGGGGGTGACACTAAAATGAAGGTCTTACACTAAAATGAAGGTCAGTAGTTATGATGTCCCCCCCCCCCCCCCCCCCGATTGTATTATCTGCTGTGGGCTGCACCCCCCTTGTGACGCCTCTGTTCTGAGTCACTAACATAGAACAAGTATTCAAATCACAGAAGTCAGAAGCCCTAATTGACATACTTATTAGGGCATTGATCCCAAAGGATCAGCATGACGGCCAGGTAACCAGCATTTCCAGGAGGAGATGTCAGCAATGGCAGCCTACATATACACTCATGGAGCCCCCACCTAAGTATTAACATAATGCCTATAAAGGTTTCTATTGGCAGGCACAAAATGTCAAAAAAGCTGAAAAATCCAAATTCTGCCCCCCGTCCTATCGTGTCACATGACTCCTGCATCTTCCAACTGCTGATAGTGTCTGATCAGTAGGCTGGGACGGCCGGGTCACCCTGTGGTCTCTTGGTGACACCGGTTGAGGGTTATGCGGTGTCACCTGCATTGCAGCACTGCACAGCCAGAGACTTTCTCAGCAAAGGAGATGCAGTGGGTCTGTACTGCAGGAGAGCTGTGATCCGGTGTATAGGGGGGTGACAGGGACGGTACGGGGGTACAGTATGGGGACAGCCTTTATCTCTGAACAGTTATTAGGAATAAGAAGTCAAACTTTAAGGGGTTTTCCACTTTCACCGCCAGCATTCCCTTTGTTCTGTGCCAAAGAATGGGAGTTGCCGTCCTCGTATCTTTGCCTTTCACCGGCTTCTGAGAAGCTGACATAGAACTTGGCGACGAATCGCAATTTTCCTGCAACACATGAAATATTCCCGCTGCTGGAACAAAGGTGAATCCTGGCAAGCAGGTGAAAACATTCACCCCACCCTTATCTTTATGTGAGTCGGCTGCCTCCACATCTGTTAGGGACAACACTCTATCCAAGTGACGAGCAGCAGATGTGTGCAGTGTGAATTGTTTCCTATCTGCCCCGTTCACACTGCAACATTGACTTGAGTTGGGTTGCAGTGCGTGGCGGAAAAATGACGACATGCTGCATATTTCCGCCCCGGAGCTCATCTGAGGTCACCATTGGTCAATGCAACTCACGGCAAATCTTAAAGAACACTGCAGGGGCTACTAACTGCTGGGGGGGGGGGCTCAAATAAAGCAGATATGTTACCTGATCCTCTATCCCGTGGTAGTCTGCACTCACCCCTCCGCTCCAGCTGTGGTATGCCCCTCAGCATCCTCACGTCTCCTGCAAGCCAATGACCCTGCATTAGATGTGATGACATCAGCGTTCCTTAGACCCCTGGAGCCCGGGGGGAGAAGAGGCTGAGGGGGACCGGTCTAGCAGCCTGGCAGAACCAAGGATCACGTCAGTATACCTGCTTACCTGCTTCATTAAAGCCCCCTTAGACAAAACAAGTGCCGAACCCTCGCAGTTTTCTAAGTGCCCGGAGTTCTTCTTTAAAGTAGAATTCAACTCTCAATAATGAATCCAGATCTAAGAAATAGACATCGCCCAGCAAAGCATCGCTTTACATTTTCGCCCAAACACAGTCATCATGTTTCTGAACAGCTCCGACACTCTCAGCTCAGCTTCCCTGAACTTCCTGTCCAGTACAAGGTCACAAAGGACAGAGCAGTCTCCAGCAACTGTTCATCTACTAGCTTGGAGGAGAGAGAGGAGCAGGGGGAGGGGCTTGATTTGCTGTGTCTGTGTATTTGTGGATCAAAGTAAATAAAGAATGTCACCAGCACTCCGACATAAGGTGAAATCAGTCCATTTAATGACTCAGAACGTCATCAATGCAAGCGCTTTCTGGGCCTCGCAGGGTCCCCTTCATCAGTCTCAGAATGTAGAATAGAAGACACAAGGGTGACTGCATAGCACTCTGCGTGAGAAAGGAGTCACCCTATGACAGGAAGTCAGGACCAGTGCTCAGGGGACCAGCTGATTCAGCAGGAAGCCAAATCAGACTCAAACCTGGAAATGTGACTGTGACGGGTAATACAGGAAGCCAAGAAAAGGGACGTTTCAGAATGCAGGAAGTACACGGCCAGTGGCCCTGTGGGGTGCTCTCTGGATTCTTGCTGCAGTGATTTACACATAACACTGATGGGTACACTGTGTAGACTTCCTGTATTAGTATTGGGTTCACTTGCCTGGATTTGCAGGGAGCATGGCGCCGTACCCTCAGCCTGCCGTAGCCTCTTGCTGCAGGTTGGAACAGCCGGGGCATTAAGTTCAGTTTATTTAAGCTTTGTAGTTACTCATCTTCAGTTCAGAAGTTAAAAGAAGAGCTTTGTGAGATGTAACCTGTCATTATAAGTGCTCCTTGTCCCCCTCCTCATCCCTCCAGCCCTTTGATGTTCCTCCGGTTCCCAGGAAGTTCAGTCACTGTGCCCAATACAGGTGTCTTTCCCATTTCCTGGGGCCCGGGGAACAATAAGACGGCGGAGCACTCGGGCCAATGTAACCTGGACAGGGATACAATTACTTCTTATTGGTGGACTCCCTGGTGATATGTATCATTCATCGTTCAAAATGAAATAGCTTTATCAAATTCTGTTTCTGTGCTGATAAGACAGACGTAAGTGTCCTGTTCAGAGATGGTGGAGGTCCATTCCAGGTCACTTTCTGGCATGACCATAAACCTTACGACTGGATAGATGTTCATCACCCAACTAAGTTCACAAAAACTCTTTCACAAAAAGGTTTATTCAGAAAACAAAGGGGGGGTGCGGCCCGCACCCGGGTGCCACCATTGGAGGGGTGACACCAAAATGACTGACAGTCATTTTGGTGTCACCCCTTATTAAAAGTCGGGCATATCGGTCACGGACAGAGAGCCTGACAGTGTCAGGAGAGAGGAGGGGACCCAGCGACATACCTCATCCCGCCGGGTGACCGTCCCCTCCTCTCTGTGCCGGCATCCATCACTAAGATGGCAGGTGTCAGTAAGATGACCATCGCGCATGTGCAGCAACGTCACGGCGAGGTGTCACCCGGTCTCCGCTCCGCTGAGTTCAGTGGGGAGAGTTCAGCGAGGAGAGTTCAGCGGGGAGAGTTCATCGGGGTGAGTGAGTTCAGCGGGCAGAGTTCAGCGGGGTGAGTTCAGCGGGGTGAGTTCATCGGGGAGAGTTCATCAGGGAGAGTTCAGCGGGGAGACTTCAGCGGGGAGAGTTCAGCGGGCAGAGTTCAGCGGGCAGAGTTCAGCGGGCAGAGTTCAGCGGGCAGAGTTCAGCGGGCAGAGTTCAGCGGGCAGAGTTCAGCGGGCAGAGTTCAGCGGGCAGAGTTCAGCGGGCAGAGTTCAGCGGGCAGAGTTCAGCGGGCAGAGTTCAGCGGGCAGAGTTCAGCGGGCAGAGTTCAGCGGGCAGAGTTCAGCGGGCAGAGTTCAGCGGGCAGAGTTCAGCGGGCAGAGTTCAGCGGGCAGAGTTCAGCGGGCAGAGTTCAGCGGGCAGAGTTCAGCGGGCAGAGTTCAGCGGGCAGAGTTCAGCGGGCAGAGTTCAGCGGGCAGAGTTCAGCGGGCAGAGTTCAGCGGGCAGAGTTCAGCGGGCAGAGTTCAGCGGGCAGAGTTCAGCGGGCAGAGTTCAGCGGGCAGAGTTCAGCGGGCAGAGTTCAGCGGGCAGAGTTCAGCGGGCAGAGTTCAGCGGGCAGAGTTCAGCGGGCAGAGTTCAGCGGGCAGAGTTCAGCGGGCAGAGTTCAGCGGGCAGAGTTCAGCGGGCAGAGTTCAGCGGGCAGAGTTCAGCGGGCAGAGTTCAGCGGGCAGAGTTCAGCGGGCAGAGTTCAGCGGGCAGAGTTCAGCGGGCAGAGTTCAGCGGGCAGAGTTCAGCGGGCAGAGTTCAGCGGGCAGAGTTCAGCGGGCAGAGTTCAGCGGGCAGAGTTCAGCGGGCAGAGTTCAGCGGGCAGAGTTCAGCGGGCAGAGTTCAGCGGGCAGAGTTCAGCGGGCAGAGTTCAGCGGGCAGAGTTCAGCGGGCAGAGTTCAGCGGGCAGAGTTCAGCGGGCAGAGTTCAGCGGGCAGAGTTCAGCGGGCAGAGTTCAGCGGGCAGAGTTCAGCGGGCAGAGTTCAGCGGGCAGAGTTCAGCGGGCAGAGTTCAGCGGGCAGAGTTCAGCGGGCAGAGTTCAGCGGGCAGAGTTCAGCGGGCAGAGTTCAG